GAGAGAGAGAGAGAGAGAGAGAGAGAGAGAGAGAGAGAGAGAGAGAGTAGAAAGCCCTGGCTGGCAGGTTCATCCCTTGGGGTGCCAAACCCGAGGGGCTGGGACCAAGAGAGGGCACCCTTGCCACTGTCAGCTGTTCTCTCCTGAGAGGGAGCCCCCTAGCCCCGCTTCCTCCCCAAGAGGGCCAACTGGCTCAGGACCGAGCTCCCTAGTCCGAACCCCTCATTTTACAGAGCGGGAAACAGGCTCCAAAGGGCAAAGTTACTCAGGCAGCGTCACTCAGGTTCTAAGTTAGAGTCAGGATTTTAACCTAGGCCTTCTGATTTCAAGTCCGAGACTTGTCCCAGTACACCATGCTACCTCAAACCAGCCAATCCTCTTCTTCCCAAGGATTCCTCTTTCTTTTTCCCTAGAAGAGAATTCCTCTTCCTCCTCTTATCCCTCCCGCAATGGATCCACCTCTTCTCCCCATGGGGAACTCTCTTCATCCTCTGTATCCCTAGTGTTCTGCACACAGAAGGTGCTTAATAAATGTTATTCTTGGAGAGCACAGTCCCTCTCCTGCCTCTTCCTATTGACTCAAGCCACTTCTGGTCCCTGTAACTTCCCTATATCCTTAGGACTGGGCGTGGGGGGGGGGACTTTTCTGGGATTCAAAGAGGTTGAGAACTAAAGGTCCCTTAGAGCCCTGACCCATACCAGACTCCCCTCCCCCCCAACCTAGGTCTTCTGCCTTGGGACCAGGGCAGGAAATTATCCCTTTAGCAGCTTTCTGGGAAAGGGCAACAGGAGGTCAGGTGCTCTGGCACCTGCTACACCTTTGCCAGAGCACGATTCAGAGGGTAGTTATTCCCCCCTACACCACCCCGAAGGTCAGGTACTAAACAGACCACTCATGCCAACCTCAAGGGCACTTCACTGGCTACCAGAGTGAGACAGGACTAGAGGGGCCCAGCTCTCATACCCAGCAAGAACCGAAGGCTAGGCAGCGGCAGAGTGGAGCCTGGATCCCCACGTGGACTTAGGGTCATACATGGCCAAGAAGTTCCTTTGAAAAGGGTGAGAAGAAAGCTGGGCTAGAAAGGGTGGTATAGGACAGAGCCCAAGCCTTCAGGTGGGGGGGGGGGGGAAGGGGCACTCTGATGCCAGAGCAGGGGTCAGTGTGGCTGAAGTGGTCCAGGATGAATACCCTGTTGCCCTCTTTAAGGCTCAGAGAGGCTCTGCCTGGAGGCAGGAGAAGGTGGGAAGGGTGAGAAGGCAAAGAGAGGATTGGGGAGGACCTTCATGGGATTGAAGGGCTTTAAGGCTGGGAGAGATCCCGTCCAAGCCTAGAGCTGGGATTTCAACCCAGGTTTTCTGATTCCAAAATCAGTGGTCCTGCCGCTCCAGACTACTCTCTCTGAGAATGATGCAAGCAACAAGAACTAGGGCTGAAGGGGCTTCATCTCCACCTTCCTGGGGTCTCCTTTGAAAGTCAAACCACCACAGAAGTCAAGGACATGGAGACTCTTTCCTGCCAAGGCCCCAAGCCCCTTGGGGTCAGGAAAGCCAGGGGATCTGAAGTTCAGCTCTTTCCTATCATTTTTGTGGAAACTGAGAAAGCCACCTGACCTGAGGTGGGACAGGGCAGAGAGGATTTAGGGGACAAAGGTCAGATGAGGGTGGAGAACGGGGAAGAGAAGCATGAGAACTGACTTCGGTCCTTGGGGTATCAGCTTATACCCCAGCTCCCAGGGCCCAAGAGGCAAAGGAGCCAGAGCCCTGTAAAGGGACAGGAACTCCCTTGGGGTGGGATGGAGCTGGTGCATCTTTCTTGGCAGAGTTGGGAAAGGGAGGACATGCCATGGTGAAGGTCTTTCTAGATGGACACTCCCATCTTCTCCCCGCTCACAGACCCTGGTATATTGAAGCACCTCCCTCCAGGTCTCCAACCCCTTGTTTTAGTGCAGACTCCTTCCTTCACCCCACAGGTGCTGTCATGGAATTGTCCATGGTGCTGAATTGTAGGCTCAGCTCTGCGGCACCCCTCGTGACCACCGGCCAGGGACATAGCTCTTAGTGACATGAATCAGATTCTGGATTCCCAGAGTCTGGGTTCCCAAAGCTTGAGTACAGAAAACAGGGTATGGGGCAAGACTCCCTACTTTCAAGGACCCAGAGTAAACCCATCCTGAAGAGTGAAAAATCTAATCCAGGATTTTCTCAAATGAAGAACCTTACCCAGAATGAACCTCTCTGGGGAAAATTCCAGCCCCATCATCTCCCTGAGAGCTGGGGGAGCCTACAATGCTCCTCTTCTTCTGCACAGCCTCCTCCTCCAGCCTAGTCTCATCAGCATGGACACTCACAACTTACTCCCCTCCTCCTTGAACCCTTTGGATTGAACCTTGGGCCCCACTGCCCCTGGGGGTCAGACGGCTGGGGTCTTATCATCACAAGATGGCCAGTAGTGCTTGGACACTGAAGAAGGGAGAACAGGCCATCTCAGAGAATGATCTGCAAAACCTGCTGAAAGGGGGTGGGTGAGGATAGAGTTTGGGAGCCAAAACACAAAGGCCTCCAAGGTGAGTTGTTATTGGTGGTGGGTCCTACAAGCCTGAGAAGGGAGACCCATGCCACAGGGGTGCAGGACAACCCATGCCTAATTCAGGGGACCCTTAAAGACATCAACTCTAGTCTAGTATGATCATAATTGACTTTCTTTACCCCTATTGATGGGCAACAAAGCCATCCTTCCTAGAGCAAAAGGTCCCTTTGCCGGACTCCAGCCCTGATTGCCCTACAGATGGGGACTCGCCCATAACTCTTCTGCAGGTTTTGGGGCTGGACCATGAGAGGGGCATTCCAAAAGCCTGCTCAGGGGCACCTGGGCCCAGCCAACCCCACATCAGAATGCCCAGGGCCTCTCGGCTCAATGTCTCAGCCATGGATGCCCAAGCTACCAGCTCTGAATCTGAGAGGCAGCCCAGCAGAACAAAGGCTTCAAAGGAGACCTGTAGCTACTCCTGTCATCTCCTCTCACCCCTCACCCTGCTTCTCCCTGGCTTTAGTCAGGTCTAGACCTGGAGCCAGGCCTGAATGTGGAAGGAGAGAGAAGGGGCAGGAAGAGAAAAGGGGACCAGGGAAGGGTGGCAAGGGATGGTGGAAGGCAGAGGAGAAAACAGTGGGAAGGAAAAGAGAGGAGAGGCAGAAGGGAGGGAGGAGAAAAAGGAAGATAGAGAAGATGGAGAAGAGGGGATGAGGTGGGGGAGAAGGAGAAAGGAGAGGTGAGAAAGAGGAGGGGAAGATGGTTTAGGGAAGGTAGAAGAAAGAATGAAGAAGGGGGAGTGCTGGCGAAGTGATGTGGGTAGGGAGGAGGAAGTCAGTAGTGATCAGATCCAGCACCAGCCTCTTGGCGGGAAGCTGGTTCTCTAAGCCCTCCCCTCCAGCCCCACTGGGGCCCCAGCCGGCAGCTTCTATGGGGAGGACAGAGTGGGAGAGAGGAGCACCCTTGTTTCACTGCCCACCTGGCCAAGAACCTCTGGAGACGACATAGGGAAGAGACTGTTTTCTGATTCTCTTGTCTCACAGTCAAGCTAAAGTGAGGTCGGATCCCTGAGCCTACACTCAAGGCCCCCACCCAAGGGCACCAGGCTCCTCTCCTCTGGGTCAGGTTGGAGGACAGAGATGCTCCTCAAGTCAGGAAGAGGAGACTCTGGCCTGGGGCTGGGGGTTCTGCAGGGTAAGGTCTGGGGACCTCAGGTCTGGTAACAGACCTCCAGCCAGGTTCAAAAGCAGGAAAGGAACCCTCCGGACTTCCGAGTGATGGTTGAGGAAAGTGGGAGGGAGTCTTGGGGAGAGAGGAAGGAACACTGAGTAGCTTCTCCATCCCACCCCTCCCATCAGAACCAGGCCGGCCATAGGGAGAGGAAGGTCTCCCCCAGGTTGTCCAACAAGCTGGTGGAGTGCATGGGGAAGATAATGAGGTGATGTCATGCCCACTTGATAGATGAGGAAATCAAGGCCCAGATCAGTTAGCGAGTCACAATCTGGTGTCAGGGCTAGGATTCGACTCCAGCCAGTCTGACTTCAAAACTTCGTCTCTTTCTGCTGTACATTGGTATTGCTGAGGCCTGGGGTAACACGTGTATATGCAGGAGGTTTGGGGTGCTGTGGATGCTGGGAGGGGGCGTAAAGGCAGCTTAATTCTAGAGGAAACATTGTGGCAAGGGCAGAGGTGTCTAGGGGAGATGGGCTCAGGGTGGAGAGAAGAGAGGAGAGGCTCAGAAGGGGATGCAGAGATGTGGGGCCCCTTTTAGGGGGTGGACATAGGGCGTAGGGAAGAGTACGTTCATGGGGGGAAGTCTGTGTGTGGCAGGGAGATGTCAGAGGATGGCAGAAGGAGAGAAGGGAGGAAGGGAGTGTCAGGGTGAGGCTGTGGATGGGGATTCAAAGATGTTGGGGTACCTTGTAGGGAGTGGGTGTAGGTATAGAGGAAGGTGACATTCATAGAGGGGAAGTCTGTGTGTCAGGGCGGGGGGAGGAAAGAGAGCTGTGGGGACTCCTCTCACCTCAGTGGCCAGCTGCCTCGATGCCCCTGCCCCACAAGCCGATTTGGCCCACCCCACACTCCCCCAGGCACCTACTTGATAGCTTTCTTCTCACTGCGCCCACGCCCAGAGTCTGGGGTGCCCACGGTCTCTAGGGAATTCTTGTAGCGTTTGCCCTGTGGAGAGAATAGCAGAGTCACTCAAGTGAGCACCCATGGCTTAGAGAGGCCATCTAGTCCTTATTTTACAGATGGGGAAACTGAGGCAAAGAGAGGTTCAGTGACTTGCCCAGGGTCATGCAGGCAGTAAATGTCTGGAGGAGTGGGACTCAAACCCAGGCCTTCCTGACTCCAGTTCTAGCACTCTGTGCCCCTGTGCCACACTGCCCCTCAAGGTGACCCCTCCTGCCAGTCAGTAAGCATTGATCTCCCCAGGCACCCTCAGGCTCTATCTCCAGCCTGGTTCTGGTTTCACCGACAGGCTACTGAACACAGCCATTTCCTTGCCCCCAGAAGCAGGAAAGCATAATGATGCTAGTGGAGTTAGGAAGACAAGTTCAAATGACCCTTTTGCTGGGGCCTTTGTGACCTTGGGCCAGTCTCTTTACTCCTGGGGCCCCAGATAACTAGCTAGAACTAATTTACCAAGCCCTAGAAGGGCTGAGATTTTGCCCGAGGGAGGAAGTCCCCAGTCTAATTTAACCCAAGGCAACTGTGCATTTCCTGAGTACCTACTATGTGACAGCCTCCAGAAAGGCAGGGGGGTGAGAGCTGGGAGTTTCCTGTGGCAGAATTACAGGTGCTCTGGGAATCTGAGGCCTGCTGCCACCTCAGAACTCAAAGCCAAATCTTTCCAGCCAGAGGGAAGAGGGAAGGGCAGAAGGCTGAATTTCACTCTCCTCAGCTCCTTAGTGACCAGGCCTGTCCCCAGGAACACGAAAGAAGGGAGGCATCACTATATAGAAGAAAGAGGACCATTGTTCTCTGGAGTCAGGGAGATCCCAGTTCAAATACCGCCTCTGATACCCCCTATGTGACCTTGAAAGCACATAACCTTCGTGGGCCTCAGTTTCCTCGTCTGTAAAGTTTCTTCCTACTCTAAGTCCATGCTCTTGTGAGCCCATGATTCAGAGCCAAAAGGGGGCTTAGATACCACCAAGTCCACCCCCCCCAATATTACAGAGGAAGAAAGTGAGACCCAGAAGTTTTTTTTTTTAACAATTAGTATTGAAAAGTAGAATGGCTAGGTGGTGCAGTGGACAGAGCACTGACCCTGGGGTCAGGAGGACCTGAGTTCAAATCCGGACTCAGACACATAACACTTACTAGCTATGTGACCCTGGGCAAGTCACTTAACTCCAATTGCCTTGCCAAAAAAAAAAAGTAGAATGGACTTGGGGTAGTAAGTTCCCTGTCACTGGAGGTCTCCAAGCAAAGGCTAGATGACCCCTTATTGGGTGGGTTCTTCTTCAAATGGAGATTGGTCCAGATGGCCTGCAATACCTTCCAGCTCCAGGACTCTGTGATTAGGACTCATCTCCTCACTGCGGTCTTGATGCTACAATGTAGTGCAGGGGCTCGAACTCGGGTCCTCTACCTTGAAATCCTGTGCTCCTTCGGATGGCAGGTTGGCTTTGCTCCCAGGCCCAGGCCTGTTCTCCCATCCCCCAGGGTCCTGGCCAGGCTCCCAGATGCACAGCTCCACTCTCTGTGGACAGACGGCTCTCTGGTGCCCAGCCCAGGCACGTCACGCTGCCCACGTCACCACCCCCGCATGGCGTGGGCAGCAGCCCCACAGGGCTGGCAGGGGCCCGGTGACGTGAGCAGCTGGGCCAGGGAGAGGAGAAGGCCATTTGTTTTCTTCTAGCTCCGGTCTGACCAACCACTGCTCTGGGCAGGAACCCTGTCCCAGCCACCGCTCTGTCCAAGGCCTACCCTCACGGCCCCAGTTCCCTAATGCCTCAGACCACAGGAACTTAGGATTCCAAAGGGGAGGGAAGGGAAGCATTACTGCTTATTGCTAAGAAAACTGAGATTTTATTTGGTCCAGTTCCCTCATTTTACTGATGAGGAAACTGAGGCTCTGAAAGCATCATGGATTTAGACCTGGAAGAGATCTTTGTGACCCTAGGCCAATCACTTCACCTCATTGTACCTTGGTTTCCCTTTCTGTAAAATGAGGAGGCTGCACTTGGTGACCTCTAAGGTCATTTTTAGCTCTGTCCGTTATCTTATGACATATAGTCCAATACTGGGGGACAATCGGAAGCCTAGAGAGAGCTGGCGATTTCAAGAAGCAGCTTTCCCAGGGAGCAAACAGCAGGGCCAGGATTCGGGCCCTCTGACCCCTAACTCAGGGTCCTTTCCACTGTATTACATGAGCCTGTAGCATAAGAGAGGAGGAAACATATCTTCTCATCAGCTCCCTCTTTGTGGGGGTCATACACAGGGAAGAGGGGTGCTGAGGACCCTCCTGTGGACACAGAGAAGGCCCGGCCTTCTAGAAGAGACATTTTGGGAAGCGCATGCTGTCGGAGTATTTGCAACTAGGAAGGATGCTGGACGCTATCTAGTCAACTCTCATTTTACAGATGGCGAAACTGAGGCCCAGGGAGGAGTGAGCTGCCCAAGGTCACAAAGATATAAGCAAGTTATCAGATTCAGGGTTTGAATCCCCCTGCTCTGACTCCAAACCCAGCCTTCCAGGGAGAGGTGAGCGAACAGGCCTCCCCCCAGAGTGGGCAGCTGGGTGGGGACGGAGAAAGAGCAGGGGGGCTGCCGCCCCCACCACAGCAGTAGCAGAGGAGGGACCTGTATCAGAGGAAGGTGAGTTCTGTTCACCTTCTTGGTTTGGGTTTCTAAATATAGCTTCCTGCAGAGCCCGGTGCCATTAACATTCCTCTTGGCCATCCAGCACCCCACATGCATACCGATGACAAGGATGGGCTGAGGCCAGGCCACCCTGCTGGCCCAGAACCAGTCAGTCATTCTCCTCTCCTCGCAACCACTGGGGCTGAGGCCTAGAGCCTGGACCGAGAGCCTGGAGGGTCAGGATCCTCACTGCAGCATCCTAGGGGCAGCTGGTGGCCCACTGACTCCCTGAGGCCAGAGGGCAGAGGCTGCATTGCACTGGGGAGAAGCTGGGGCTACTCTGCTGCTATGGGAGATTTCTGGGTGGGCTGCTATGACTGTGCCATGGCCCTGACCTTTCAAGTCCTCAGAGCACCAGCTGCTGATTCTAAGCACCCTGGCCTTCCAGCACACACACACACACACACACACACACACTTTCCCAACATCCCATAATGCGCACCAACACCGACCCCAAACACCCAATTATCCCATCCTCCCCAAAGCAAAACAAAAGACGCTCTCCCGCAGATGCTCCCTTCAGCTGCAGCCCCTCCCCAGGCAGACTCAGCAGAGCCCCTGCAGAGGCGGGCAGCTGGGAGGCACACCTAAAATGCGTGTGAAGAGAGAGGGGCTCTTGTGACCCCTCTCCCCAGCAGAAGCTCCTCACGGGCACCGTTCGCACCCGGGGTCCAACTCTGCCCTAAGTAGGTTTGACCTGAAGTGAGTCACCTCCCCTCTAGGCCTTGAGTTCCTGAGCCCTATGAGAAGCTTGGCTAGATCTCTGAGGCCCCTTTCAGCGCTGACACTACATGTTCTCAGCTCCCTCCCAGGGCTGACATTCTGCGTTCCGAGGGCTCTCCTATGTCCAATGTTCTCTGTTCCAAGGGTCCTTTCAGCCCTTTTCTAGACCCAGTAGAACCATAACTTTGGCAGCACTGCCTGAGCTAGGCCTCTGAGGCCTTCCACCTGGAGGTCCCCGACCTCCTGGCCAGCTAGAGGCCTCAGAGGCTTGCAGGCCAATACCTACCTGAACACAAGTGCCCGGACAAGACACCCTAGAGCACAGACTCTAAGGCCTCTGGGACCGGGGGACTCACTCCCCTCTGAGGGAGCCCAGAGCATTTGGAATCAGCTCTCATGATCAGGAATTTCCAGTCTCGAGTCTCACCAGTCTCTTGCCTCTTATCACCCATTTGGGACTCACAAGGCAAAGCCACTACCAGCCCATTAGGGAAGATTATGACGTGCCCAAGGTCACAGAGGTATCCAGGGGAAGAGCTAGGATTGGAACCCAGAACTCCTGCCTCCAAGTCTAGCAAATTTCCCATCATGTCATGTCATGTTATCTCTCAATATCCGGGCCCAACGCTTGGGGTCAGCCAGCACCATCTGTCACAAGTGAACTCTCCCAGCAGTGGAGGGCTCCCTCCAAGCAGAGGCCACAACCAACGCTGTGGACAGGGGTGGGTGAAGATTCCTGAGCAGATACAGGCTAGACTCGACAGATGAGTGAATGACAAATATTTATGAAGGGCTTACTATGGGTCCAGCCAGATGACCTCAGAGGTCTCGTTTTCAGCCCTGAGATGATGAGCTTCCAGGCCTAGCTGCCCTGTAGCTCCCCAGCACCTCAGATCCTGCAGCCAAAGAGAGCAGCTCCCTGAAGACCCCTTGGTCCCCTCACCCGACATCCCTGGGCCATCCCCGGACATCCCCCCAAGTCAGCACGGAGGTCAGCAGCCATTCTGTGGACCCCTTCCCCCACCCAATCACCTGGAGGCAGTCAGCACTGCCCCTCCTCCAAAGTCTGGGAACTAGAAACACAGCTCTCCCACAGTCAGTCAACACACACGTGGTACAGAGAAAGGGCACTGGCCCTGGGCAAGCATTACCCATGTAACCTTGGGCAAGCCCCTTCTCCCTGGGCCTCCTTGGGCCCTGGTCTATAAAAGAATGAGGTTGGACTAGGTGGCCTGAGGTCCCCAGCTGCTCTCAACTGAGGGTTCCATAGACTCCTGAAGGTCAGTCAGCCTCCCCCTTCCCCCAAGGGCCAGGAGCATCTTCTAGTTCGTGGTCTGCCAGCAGCCCCTCCCCCCATCATTCAGTCTTCCCATGAATCTCTTTACCAAAAAAGTTGGTGACTTCTGTCTAAGATCCATCCAGGCCTCTCCAGGGTCACACAACCATCCCCTCCTCAAGGGTTTCACCTTCTCGCCCCCAGCTCAGAGGGCTCCTGCTAGGCCCTATGGCTGGGCCGAGTATGGCCCCTATTCGGGCAGAGGATGGTTCCAGAGTCGGTCTGGGGAGAAGCAGGGAAGGGGAGTGGGGCAAAACCATGAGGAAAACACCAAGGGGACCTCGGTCTGCTCCAGCTGATGTCAGAAAGCTCGGAAACAGCTCACCATCCCCTCCCCTTACACCCCTGCCTACTTCCAAGAGTCGGCAAAGGGGGGGCTGAGCCGAGCTGGAAAAAGCCGTCTAGAGATTAAGGAAGTTATTAATGTTCGGAAATGGGATCTGCAAGCACGGGGCTGTCACGTCATTCCTACTGAGGGGATGGGCAACCCAGGAGTCTTGTATATGGGAGCTCAAGGCCCCTTAGGGAAAGGAGGCAGACAGATGAGGCCCAAGGGCTCCCTGGCCAGAGCGGAACAGAGGAAATCTGGGGGGCCTGAGGAGAGGGAGCCAAGGGTTAGGGAAGGAAAGCCTGGTGCGTGTGTGTGTGTGTGTGTGTGTGTGTGTGTGTGTGTGTGTGTGGCTGGGGAGGGGAGGGAGGGGAGGAGGTGATGGGTAGAACACAATGAAACAATGGTTTCCAAGTTTCCCTGGAGGGAAGGAAGGAGCAGCTTTGGCCAGAGACCCTGAGCTCTGCTCTGTGGTCTGGCATCCCATGACACCCACTTAAGTAGCCCAGGCTCCTGGCCCACTACCGCCCATCCATCCGCCTGCAGTCCCCAGACGGATGGAAAGGACCGCCTGTCCTTCTCACCTTCCCTATCCACCAGGCGCCAGCCTGTCCTGCTTGTCACCTCTGCCTCTGGGGACCCAGCCAGCCTTGAGGTCTATGCTGACAGCCAAGGCTTGCCCCCAGGCAAAGGCTGCAGGCAGCTGGGAGGGCCCAGTTCAGCATCTGCAGCCCAGGGCCCCTCACTCTGCTTGGCCATCCTGTCCTGAGTCTTCAGGGAGAACCTGATTAGCCCCCTCCCTAAATCCACAGCAAGAGGGAGCCCTCCACAACAACATACAGAGTCATAGAGACACATCTCTCTCTCTCTCTCTCTCTCTCTCTCTCTCTCTCTCTCTCTCTCTCACACACACACACACACACACACACACACACACACACACACACACACACACACACACAGAGCACACAGTCAGCCCCATAGACCACTGTGGTTCCGAATACTCAGTGGGTCTATACGCTGACCTGTGGCTGGCCAGGAAAAGTCCATCTTTCCGACTTTTGCTGACTGACTGGCTCCCCACCTTTGGGGGAAGCTGCTGGATTCAGTCAAGTTAACAAGAATTTATTAAGCACCTACTATCTGACAGGCACTGCTAAATAAGCAATGCTCCTCTTTGCCTTTCCTACTACAGAAGGTGGTGGAGTGAGAGCTGGCTTTTGGGTTAGAACCCCTAAGGCTTCTCCCTAGGTCCAGCCCCATCCCCCTTCTGTGTCTTGTCTCTTCTGTTCTCCTGGGGTGATCTCTGGAGGCTTCTCCTCCCCCTCCCACACTCTCTGACCAGGCCAAATCAGCTGACTTGCTATTCTGCATCCGTGATATCCCATCTCCCTCCTTCGAATCTTAGCCCAGGCCATCCCCCATGCCAGGCGTGCTCTTCCTCCATCTCTTGGCTCATGGGATCCCCAGTTTCTTTAAAGGCTCCGCTGAAGTGCCCCCTCCCACCCGAGGTCTTGCTGCTGCCTCCAGGTGTTTGTGCCTTCCCCCCATCATGCTTCATTTACTGATCCAGTGCCTAGCAGAACATAAACTCCCTGGGGGCAGGAACTATTTAGTGCTTGGTCTCTGCATCCCTACTGCCCAGTACAGTGCCCAGCATACAGCAGATATGGGGACTAGACCTATAATTTCACAGCTGTAGGAAGCTCCCAGTAATTCCATTCCAGAACTCATTCTGTGTTTATTAAGCACCTACTACGTGCCAGGTACTGAGCTAAGCTAAGGTAGGAACTCCATCTGCCAATATAGACTAGCCCTGGTCCTGAAACTTTTTATATATATACAAAATTTTTTCCCAATCACATGTAAAGACAATTTTAACATTCATTTAAAAAAAACTTTTTTGAGTTCCAAATTTTCTCCCTTCCTCCCTGACCTCCCTTACTCCCTGAAACGGTAAGCAATTTGATATGGGTTATACATGTTCAATCATGCAAAACATATTACCATATTAGTCATGTTGTGAAAGAAGACACAGACCCGAAGGGGAAAAAACACACACACAAAAATACAGAAAGTGAAAAATAGTATGCTTCAGTTGTCCTGCGACTCTTAAGAAGAATTGCTAACATTTATGTTGTAGCTTTAAAATTTGTAAGACATTTTACATATGTCATCTCACTCGGTCCTTGCAATGGCTCTATGAATTAGGGGCTATTGCTGTCCCCATTTGCAGATGAGGAAACTGAGGATAAATGGGAGAGGTTAAGAGGCTTACTCAGGGTCCCGCAGCTAGTATGGGTCGTAGGCAGCATCTGAACTCAAGTCTTTCTGGCTTTCAACTTTCTGTATTAACTATAAGAAGCCACCTCTCAGTGAGAGGTGCTAGCGCCAAAATAAATACATAGATGGATTGATAAACGAATGAATGAATAAATAACTGAAGTGAGATGATCACTCTTCCCCTTGGGACTGGGGGTGGGAAGGAAGGAGGCCGCCGCAAATCCAGGGCACCGGGGGTGGGGCTTCTCCCCAGCTCTCCCCTCGCTCAGTCCACGGAGAACGCACGCTCGAGTGGGGTGGGACCCCCGCCTCCCCCAGCGGAGTCCAGAAATCACCCCCAATGACAGGCTGTGCCCTCCCAACCACCTCCTCCCTCCCAGCCTCCCTCCCCCCGCCGCGGCTGCTCCCGGGGCTGGGCCAGTGGGTGGGGCAGGGCTGGCTGCCGGCTGCTCTGCGCACCCACCCTCCTCCTTCTGTCTCCTGTCTCTTCTGTTCTCCCGGGTGATTAATGACTCTCCTGACTGGCTTCGTTACTTATTGATGGCCTAATCCCGCTTGTTAATTCCCCAGCCCTCGTTAAAAATGAAAAGAAGCCATTTGTGCTTGTACAAACCCTAGGGCCAGGATGGATGTGCCGGGGGCTCCAGCGGTTGGGGGGGGCCCGAGGAGGGGGAAGGCGGAGGTTGGGGGGGGCGGGGTGCCTGACTGGACCAATGGCAGGCCAGGCCTGAGAACCCCTCCTCCCCGAACCCCCACCCAAGGCTCAGCAGCTCCCAGCCCCGCTCTCCTCCCCATCAGCCCTGGGGTGTGATGTGGCCTGGATTCTCTGCCAGAGTGTATGCTAGCAGTGATAAAGCTAGCTTGCTCGTTCAGCCAAGGGACCCGGGTTCAACTTTTACCTCTCACTCTTTTATCAGCTAGGTGATAACTACATTAAGTCATTTTATTTCCCTGAGTCTCCATTTCCTCATCTGTAAAATGGGAGTAACCAAACCTCACAGGGCTATTGTAAATTTCAAACGAGACAAATGCTTTGCATCATCTCCTCCTCCGCCCGTCCCTGGCTTCCTCAAGTCCCAGCCAAAATCCTACCTTCGGCAGGAAGCCGTTCCCAAGCCCTCTTAATGCTAGCGCCTTCCCTTGGTGGATCACCACCAATTTATCCTGTCTCAGGCTTATGTGGGCACTGTGTTTTGCATGTTGCCCCCCCAAGGGACTATAAGCTCCTTGAAAGCAAGGACTGTCTATTACCTAGTATATAGCTCAGCACCAGTGAGCTCTCTCTATCTCTCTTTCTCTCTCTGTCTCTCCCTTTCTCTGTCTCTCTCTCTCTGTCTCTCTTCCTTTCTCTGTCTCTGTCTGTCCCTTTCTCTCTCTCTCCTTCTCTTCTTTTCTTTCTCTCTGTCTCTCCCTTTCTCTGTGTCTATCTCTAGCTCTCTCTCTCTGTCTCTACGTGAGTATGTATACGTATATATGTATATGTATAGTAGGTAGATAGAAGGTGCTTAATAAATATTATTGACTGACCGACTGCAATGCCTTCTCAGATAAATGCCTATTATTATTATTGGCAAGTGTGAGTATGTCTCTGCATGTCTAGATATGAAAGCGTTGGTGTGCTCACGTGCTGGGAGACCCTGAGACTGCCAAGACTGAGCACGAATGCAGTTTGGAGGGGGGTCCAACCTGGTGATTCAGGATGAGGCTCAGAGACTGAAGGCCTGAAAATGGCCTCAAGAGCCCGCCTTAGCTCCCTGCCGACTCACCAGTTTTCGCTGACACCACTGGCAGATCCCACACAGGATGATGGTGACGCTAAGGCTGATGGTGATGATGGCGGACACTAGCAGGACGTCCCGGGAGGGTGCCCCTAGAAGAGGGAAGACAGAGGGTCAACATCAGAAACTGGTCTGATTTTATCAGCGGAAATGACATGAGAGAAGAGGCATTGCCATCTGCCGGACTGCTGTACCCTATGGACCAGGGAACCTTTCCACCTGACTTCCAGCTGAAACATTCCATATGTGTTATCTACCCCATTAGAATGGGAGCTCCTTGAGAGGACAGGCTTTCTAAGGACAAAGCAGGAAAGGACACGGGCTTCCCTTGGCCAAGGAGATGGGGGATGGTGAGGGGAGTGGGGGGGTAGCTTTAGAGTTAGAAGTTCAAGGTTCAAATCTCAGATCCAAACTTATGGAAAGAGCAATGATCTGGGTCTGATTTTCAGACAAGTTTAATGGTTATGGGCAAGTCATTTAATTTCTCTAGGCCTCAGTTTCCTCACTTAGTAATGATAATAAGGGCCAGCATCTATATGGTGCTTTATCTGATACCTCATCTGATCCCCACAACAATCCAATGAGGCAGGTGTTATTATTATCCCCATTTTATAGATGAGGAAAGGGAGGCTTTCAAGAAACCAAACATCTCACAATGGTACTTATTAATCAGAGGCAGGATTGAACTCAAGTCCAGCCCTCACAGCACTGCACTGCCCAGCTGTCTCACTGATTACTTATATGATGAGCCAGTGGGACAGGGCGATCTCTAAGATGCCTCCCTCTACCCTCTACAACCATGAGATCAAATTTGGGTATTTCCTTGAGTTTGGGACCAAGAGCTCCGATGGGTGACAGAGAGTTAAATGTGTCTGCTCTGGTCCCAACAATTCCTGATCCCTTCCTGTGATTGCAGCCCCAGCTCTCTCTCTCTCTCTCTCTCTCTCTCTCTCTCTCTCTGTGTGTCTCTCTCTCTGTCTGTCTGTCTCTCCCTCTCCCTCTCTCTCTCTCTTTCTGTCTATCTCTCTCTCTTTCTCTCTGTCTGTCTGTCTGTGTCTCTATCTCTCTGTCTCTGTCTCTGTCTGTCTGTCTGTCTGTCTATCTGTCTCTCTCTCCCAATTTCTCTTTTCTGATAAATGTGGAAAGTATGATAGAGGAACAGAGAGGCCTCCAGAATGCAGAGGGAAGAATCAGCGAAGGAGCCCTCAAAGAGGTAGCAGCAGAATTGGGCCCTGAAGAAAAAGAAGGCTAAGGGTGGTGTGATTAGAGCAAGAAGGGACCCTAGAGACCGTCAAAACCCAATTCCCTCCTTTTACAGGGAAGGAAACTGAGGCCAAGATCACATAGGGAGTGAGTGGCAGAACCAGGGTCCTAACCCAGGACCCACAGCATCACAGGGAGGTCAACAGGCTGAGAGGGGAAGGGGGAGGGGAAAGGAGGAGGGGGAGGGGAAGGGGAAGGGGAATCCATTGCCTACATTTTCTTGTACACTTCATTCATCAATCCATTAAACATCCACCTTGTTCAAAGTGCCTCTTCCCTTTAGTCTCCCAAGGAATGACTGTCAATCTCAAAGCCTTCCCGGTCTTTCCTGATTCCGGGCCTGCTACAAGGAGTTAGGTTTCCGGCATGTTCATATAATGACAACAACAACACTTACATAGTATGTGAAGGTTTGCAAACTATTTTACATGTTATCTTATTGGACCCACGGAACAACCCATGGGAGGTAGATGCTATTATTATCCTCATTTTGCAGGAATGAGGTGAAGTGATTTACCCAGGGTCACACAGCTTGTGTCTGAGACAGGATTAGAACTCAGTTTTCCCAGAGCACGCATTATTGATTCTCAGCTCTCAGTGAACTCAATTCCTCTCAGTGGGGGAAGAGGTCACATGCTAGAATGAGCACGGGATTTGGAGTCCAAGGAAGTAGGTTTGAACATGCCTTTGTCGCTTCCAACCTTGAGAGCCTGGTTGGGCAGGCGACTTTCCTTTGCTTGTTTCCCTCTCTGTACCATGAGGGAAGTGGTCTAAAGGAGCTCTATGGGCCCTTCCAGTTCTAGAGCCTATGATTCTGTGACCTGCATGGAAAGGGAGATCACCAGAGGGACCACTGGGGACCAAGGAAGCAAGGGATTCCAAGAGGCATAGCCATGGAGAGGGCAGCCTGTTCAAAGCCCAAGAGTAGAGATGGAATAGCCTGGCCCCTGGGGTCAGTGGCAGCCCTTTGAACTCCCTATCCACCCCCATAAGAAATGGGGGGACACATCACCACACAGTCATTACTGCAATCCAGCAGCAAGGTTGAGTCAGGGCAGGGCAGGCTGCAGGAGAATAAGGCTACGAGCATTTAATGACTGTAGAAAAGATGCCTTTCTAGCACTGGGTCTGCAGTTTTCCAGCGCCCCACATGGCTTCAAGCTCTCCCCATTGTGAGCTGGGGAACAGACACCCCCCCACCCCAGAGGTCTGCGGCACACTATGTGGGCTTCCTGAGCCTTGTCCTGGGCGTTCCACCTTAGAAACCTCTTGGAAACAAGGTGACTTCCAGTCACTCACCAAGCTTCCAGGCAGCCACCCCCCTCCCCCTCACTGTGACCTAGCTGTGGCTTTCCTCTTTTTCCCTCCTTCCTCCCCCTCTTCCTTTTACACCTCAAACTCTTCCTCTTCCTTCCCCTCTCCAGGTGTCAGTCTTGTCTGCCCGCTCCCCACACCCAAGGCAATGGAAGCTCTCTTCTCTTTCCTTCCTAGTACTCCTACTACTATCCTGTGTTATAAAGCACCTCCCCCTCCCTCTAATCCTTCCTTGGCTCCCTCTGCTTCCAGTAGGCCTCTCTGGAAAGTCTTTCTGGAGTTCTGTCTGGGACATGCCCACTTCCCCACTCTTGTCTGCTTCAGCTTATGACTCAGCCCTGGAGGCCAGGGCTGGGGACCAGATGCCTGCTCTGGTGTTGTCTTTCTCTGTCTCTCTCTCATTCAAAGATAATGTCTTTCCACTTTCCCCAAAGCACAAAATGTGCCCTTTTCCTGAGTGGCTCCACCAGGGCCTCTGGCTATCCCTCTGTTATCTTCTGTGATGATCAAACTATTAATGAACATTTATGAAGCACCTATTGTATGCCAGGCTCTGGAGATACAAAGACAATATTGAAACAGAACCTCACTTCAAAGACCTTACTTCCTAAGGGGAGAGACAACCCATGCTCTCTCTTTCTCTCTCTCTCTCTCTCTCTCTCTCTCTCTCTCTCTCTCTCTCACACACACACACACACACACACACACACACACAGGCTCATGCAAAGCCAATGAGAGGTAACTTTGAAGGAGAAGGCATTAGCAACATGACTAAGAGGGAAACCAGTAGAGGTTTCATTGAGCTGAACCTCAATATGGAGGAAACAGGGCAGCCCATCCAGGGAGCCATTCCAAGCATGGGGCACAGACAGCTCCCAGATCAAGGCACTTGGGCGGCAAACCTCCAAGAATCCAGGAGTGAATTCTTCTGGGTAGATACTTCCTCATGTTCATTGAACCCTAAGTTTTGGTCAGGTGACTGCAGAGACCAAGTCATTCTACAGAAAAGGAAACTGACATGCAGAGAGGGAGAGGAAGAGTCCCCCGCCCAAGATCACACAAGTATTAAGGGACAGAAGTAGGGCATAAGCCCAGGCCAGATGATGCTGAAGCCAACTGCCATTCTGTGATGCCACACTACCTCATCACAGCTCCTGTTCACCTTGACTACCTACTTTTTCATGAGCAGCTGTGGCCAAGAAAGGTAGACGCCTGGTGGCCAAGTCACCAAAATCACCAAATCTTGCTCTACTGGTCCATAGATGACGGGAACAGGCTGGCATGGTAGCACCTGCCAAAGCTGAAACCCTCTTAGCAGAATCAGGGAGAACCAGGGTCACCTCAATATTTTGTGGAAGAACTAGTAAATAGGTGATGACTAATAAATGTTTACCATCCCCTCAGTGACAACCTCTCTCTTCTTTAAAAAGAAAGGGTTGAATGAGATGTCCTCTAAAGTCCTTTCCAGACCTAAATCCTCTGACCTCTGACCCACTGAAATAGCCTCCCAAATGGTCTCCCTGAAGCCAGCATCTCCCCTCTCCAATCATCCTCCACCAAGTTGCCAAAGTGATATTCCTGCCATCCAGGTCAGACTAGGACTTTCGTTTGCTCAAGAAATTTTAGAGACTGGCTTTCCATTGCCTCTAGGAAAGGCTTCTTAAGCTGGTGTCCATGAACCTGGTTGGTTTCCTTTTTCATTTTAACCATTTGATAACTTTATTTCAACATAATTGGTTTCCTTTGTAATCCCAAGTGTTTTCTTTTATGCAATTAAAATGTTTCTGAGGAGTCCATGGGCTTTACCAGCCTGTCCAAGGGGTCCAGGACACAAAAAAAGTGTTAAGAATCCCATGGTGAGGATGAAACGTAAACTGCCCTGTTTGAGGCCGTAAACTGAGCTCCAGCCTGGATTTCCAAGGTGATCATGTGTCCCCACTGATCTGGAGTATGGGTGCCAGTTCACAGTTAAACACCCTTTTGAGGTTCCCAAAGCATTTCACACATATGAACTGAATGGAGCTTTGCAACAACCCTGAGGTAGCACCATCACTATCCTCATTTGGGGATGAGCCTCATTGAGACTCAGGGGGCTTCAATCCTTTTCTAGCATCACAACTAGTAAGTGTCTACAACAGCGTTAGGACCTAGGTCTTCCTGATTTCAAGTCTAGCCCTCTCTATATTACACCAGGTCTTTTTTGCCTAAGTGACAAAAAAAGATGACATTTCTTGAGAGTAGGGATGGTTTTGTTCTTTTTACTGGTGACATAAACTAGGCAATTAATAAGTGCTGTTGATTGATCGGGGCAATGAGGCATAGGGGAAGGCCTTCTGGAAGCAGATGGAGCTGAGGAGAGATAAAAGGAAAGGAAAGGAGAGGAGAGGAGGCAAGAAGAGAAGGGAGGGAAGGAGAGATGAAGGGAGAGGAGAGAAAAGGAGAAGGGAGAGGAGAGAAGAGGAAAAAGGAGGGAAGGAGAGAAGAAGGGGGAGGAGGGAAAAGGAGAAAGGAGAGG